TCAATGCTAGTGCCAAAACTACATCAGGGATATCGCTTAATGACACGCTAATGAATGGTCCCAAGGTGCAAGACGACTTATTTACTATTCTTTTGAGGTTTAGATGCTATCCCATAGCCATTACTAGCGACTTATTGAAAATGTATCGACAAGTTCAAATTCATGATGAAGATCGCGATTACCAAAAAATATTTTGGAGAGATGATCCATCGAAGCCGATTAAAACTTACAGGTTGTGCACAGTTACGTACGGCACTACTTCCGCTTCATACCTGGCTACTCGCGTACTCAAACAACTAACAATTGACGAAGGAACTAAATTCCCAAAGGCAGCTGAAATAATATTACACAATTGTTATATTGATGATGTCCTATTTGGTTCAGACACAGTAGAAGACGCAGTAGAGTTAATTTCACAACTGAGTGAACTTTTACAAAAAGGTGGCTTTCAATTGCATAAATGGTGTACAAATGATCGCTCGATTTTGGAAACTGCTTTGAGTGCTCAGAACTCAAATTCTTCATGTACAGTAGTTGATACTAAATCAATAAAATTATTGGGTTTGGAGTGGTATCCAACGCAAGACGAGTTTACTTGTCACTTTGGAAATCTCGAAAACAGAGAGTGTTCTACTAAAAGAATAATTTTATCTTCTATTTCGAAAATCTTTGATCCACTTGGTTGGTTAGCACCTTTTATAGTTGCAGCAAAAATCTTGCTTCAAGACATATGGAAATTACAAATCTCGTGGGATGATCCCTTGCCAGATGAAATCAATCAAAGATGGAAAATCTATTGTGAAGATATCGCAAATCTTGAATGCATTCATATTCCTAGGAGAGTATTATTGCCCAAATCTACAAATGTAGAACTTCATTGTTTCTGTGACGCATCAGAGAAAGCTTACGCCGCAGTGATTTATTTAAAGTCTTCAAACAATTCTTCAATTTCGGTGCAGCTACTAACATCAAAGAACTCTGCTCTGCAGTTCTATTAGTGCATTTGGTTCAAGCTGTGCAGAATTCATTGCAAATTCATGTTGACAGTATTTACGCATGGAGTGATTCAATGATAGTTTTGTCCTGGATACAATCAGAACCAACACGCTGGCAAACCTTCGTAGCCAACCGCGTTTCAGAAATTCAATCAGTCTTACCTTCATCGCATTGGAATCACATAAAAGGAAAGGAGAATCCAGCTGATTGCGCATCAAGAGGTCTTTTGCCTTCAGAGCTTTCTACTCATGACTTGTGGTGGACAGGTCCTCAGTGGCTTAATTCAAATAATATTCCGTTCTCTATCAACTTACCATTTTCAGAAGAGTCTTTAAGGGAACAACGGAAAAATATTTCTTGTTCAATTGGAACAGTCGCTTCGCAAATTCCAGTCCTTAATGAAGTTTCATCATTTTTGAAACTTAAAAGAATCATCGCATGGTGTTTTCGGTTTGCGAATAATTCAGCTAAATCTACCGCAACAAGGATTAAGGGTTACCTTAAAACCGAAGAATTGCAATACGCTAGAAATGCAATTGTTAGAGTAGTTCAAATGGATGAGTTTTTTTAATGAATATAATCTTCTGAAAAAGAATCAACCGTTAAACTCAAATAGTAAGATCCTTTCTTTGAACCCCTTTATCGATAAGAAGAATGGACTTATACGCGTTGGAGGAAGATTAAGACAATCCAACATCGCGCAGGACAGAAAATATCCTATTTTGTTGCCCAAGAAACATCACATAACACAGATTATAGTGAATCATTTTCATGAATCCCATCTTCATGCAGGCCCCCTGCTATTGCTATCAGTAATTAGAAGAGAATATTGGATAATCCACGCTAGGTCAGTTGTAAGACAACAGATTTGGAAATGTGTGAAATGTCATCGTGTACGAGCTAAAACATCTACCAGATAATGTCTGATTTACCATCGTCTAGAGTCGTTCCGTCAAAGGTTTTCTCCAAAGGTTGGAATTGACTACGCCGGGCCATTTCAAGTGAAGCCCAGGCAAGGTCGAGGAGTAAAACCAATGAAATGCTACATTTGTGTATTCGTGTGTTTTACTACAAGAGCTATACATATTGAATTAGTAGGTAATCTTAACATCAGAATCATTTATTGCCGCTTTGAAGCGCTTTGTATCTCGAAGAGGAAAACCAATAGAAGTGCATAGCGATTGTGGCACAAATTTTATTGCTGCAGATAAGGAATTGAAAAGAGTAATAAACTTCCTTGAATGAAAATGAATTGGTTAATAAATATTGCTCTACTGAAGGTATTAAGTGGATATTTAATCCTCCCGCAGCGCCACATTTTGGAGGATTATGGGAAGCTGCAGTCAAATCTACAAAGTTACATCTCAAGCGAACCATAGGTGAACAACTTCTAACGCAAGAAGAATTTACGACATTGCTAGCTCAAATTGAAGCTTGTTTAAATTCGCGACCTTTGTGTCCACTGTCTGAAGATCCATCAGAATTTTCTGCACTTACGCCAGGCCATTTTTTAATTGGTACCCCGCTAACTGCCTTACCAGAAGAAAGTTTACACGATCAAAAATTCCTATATTGCAACGTTGGAAGCTTGTTGAGAAAATGTTTCAAAGCTTTTGGAAAAGATGGTCCAATGAATACATTTCTAATTTGCAACGACGTTCAAAATGGTTGAAAGTGCAACCTAATTTAAAGGTTAATGATTTAGTTATCATAAAGGAAGACAATTTACCCCCGCTACGATGGAAATTAGGAAGAGTGCTGGAAGTTTTTCCTAGCTCAGATAATATTGTGCGTATCGTGAAGATCAAAACTGCTAATGGAGTTTTCAAAAGGCCAATTCACAAACTTAGTGTTTTGCCTATCAATGATTAAGTTTTTTTTTTTTTCCTAAAGCATTATAACTTTGTACTTTGCTTTAAACTATAATTAAGTTCCTGAATTGTATCAATATTTATCAAGGCTTCTCAAGTGCATCTGTTTTGAGAATAATTTAGTTTCATTGCATAATTTCATATATGTTTTCTTGTGAATATTTTAATGATACATTTTTGCATAATTTAATATTGTTATGATAATTTCATTTTGTAAAAGCTATTTAGTTTGAAACGATGTTTCAACGCCGGGCGGAATGTTTCGGCCACCAGAGCTCTCTGCCTGTCTGTTAGATATTATTTCGCAATGCGCAGATTGTATGCGTAGCTCGCATTTTGTTCTTGCATTCTTAAAACCGCTAATTGTAACTCTGTCGTTTTACTTTGTGCTGTGTTGTGTTCGAAGTTCAAACCGCGAATAAAGGTTAATTTACAGTCCACTCGCAGTGATGTATTCTTAGGTTTATTAATTTAAAGTTAAGATACCGCTTCGCTACAACAGATACACGTCAAAAAAAAAAAATGCCACGAATACGAAAGTTTTGAATTTTCTTTAACTTTTAAAAGGGAAAGTGCAGATAGATAATTTTGATTTTGTTTATTTACCGAGGTATTTTTTATCGTATATTACTTTTTTCTCAGGTGATTTTGAATAAATGTAGTACTTAAAAAATTGTTTCCGAAGTTTCTCGATCGATTTCGGAAGTGGGGGGTCGACTTATACACGGGTATATATGGTAACTAATATATTCTTAAATTCTGCACCAGTAGTGCCATCTAAGAAAACTAAACAACTAATAAAAAATAGGTATATTGCCTGCTACATTAATACCAAAACTTCTGTTGGCTTCTTCTCACCTCATGCAGCCTGTTAGTATCACAATTTTGAGTTTTTCTTTCTGGGCTGAATATCATGCTGTACTATTGCTAAATGTTTTTAGATTTTATCCTTAATTTCTCCAGTTACATAATTTATATATGATATGATAGTTACACAGCTATCAATTTATCAGTTCATATATTTCGGAATGATCAATGTAATATTTCTTATGATACTGTTGCATGCGTATGGGTTTGTTACGAAATGAATGCACAAGTCCGATGAAAAATGAACAAAATTTATTATTATCACAACAAATAAGCTTAAATTCCTCAGATATTCATGCAGTTTATGATATCTCACAGTGTTATTATCTTTTAACTCTCGAACATTCAGAGAACTTAATTCAAAACAGCTAGAGAAAGTTAATCCACGAATTCGCAACAGTCAACAAGAGCAGTTTTCCAAACACTCTAACACTTAAAACAACAACTAAGTGAACTGAGAGGTTATCCTCCTTTTTATTAGCTTCTTAAATCACGCCAGAGATCGTTCTAGCAATTTCTTTAAATCAAAAAGAGATATTTAATTATTAATATTAAATGCAAGTGTTCCTCTATTTATAACATTTCCGGCTTAGTTTTCTTTTAATATTTGTCACGCGCTACACCGCGCGGGGAATAAAACAATTTTATTTATAAATCTACTAACATTAGCTATTTAAATACCAAATCCATAACAATACATTTCATCATGTTATTTTCATTATTAATAAACTTTTTTTTTTGTATCTTCTTTTTAGTTTTTCAGTGTTTTTCATGTGTCTGCTTTTTACTGTTTTACTTAAAGCTTTATAGCAAGTAAAAATACTCTGAAAATACTGATCAAACTAAAAATTTTCTTTTACTTTTCTGTCTCTCCCTCCCTCCCCCACTGGAAGTTTAAGCCACCTGAACTTTTTTATCAAGAGAATGAGCGAAAATTGGTAAAATCATCAAATCCTAAAAGCATTCATGTGTATATAGATTTTTATATATGCATCCATGGATATTAACTTTTTGTTAAAAATTGTGCCTATATTTTAAAATTTGAACCTTGGGTATGAGATGCAAACATTGCAAAATTGTGGAGTTGGCTGCAGAATTTTTAAACACATTTTGATGTAATGCTTCATTTCTAAATTTTAGAAATTGCTATAACTGTAATTTGTTAGAGTAGTTCAATACAATTTATGAGTTTTTTAAAAAGATATATGTAAATGTAAAGAATTCATATAATTTGAGAACCTAATGCAGTAGTTGATCTATATTTAGAACCAGAAGAAGAAATGGATGCAGGGAATGAAGGTGATGAAAGAAGTGGACATACCTCACCGTCAGGAAGTGGAGTCTTTCTAAGAGATGAAGGGTCGAGTGATCAAGATGAATCCAATTCTGTGGAAGAGAATGAGCTCTCTGATGAAATGGACAAAAATAATTTTATTGAAGAAAGTGATGTTTTTGACAAAATGGATCCTCTTCAAACAACAGTGAGATCTGTTATCATCAGTCACTGTGTTCATTGTAATAACATATTTAAATTGGTAGATCATAACATAAGTTGTTCAAAAATGCATTTATGCATTTAACTGCCAGCAGACTAAAATCAAAATTCATACAAGTTTCAAATTTCTTACGTCATAATTTGCTGCTTTGTATTTTGAGAATCATAATCAACTGGTCAGTAAAATTTAGACTTCATATTAAAATGTTCATATGGTTATCAGTTATTGTTATGGTTACATGAACCATCACAGCACAGGATTAATTTTAAAATCTGAATTTTTAAACAACCAATCAGTTCAATGTGCAGTCACAAGCCTTCATCCTAAATTATTTGCTTTCCTTTTCATACTTGATTATAGTTAAGAGTCTAGAACCAAATGTTAAGTGTCCATTGGATTTTCAACAAATTTCATATGTTGCTGTGTAACATGTTTGCAACCTTATTTTCCAGTAATGCCAATCTATATATACTAATATTAAAAAAAATCATTAGATCTAGAAAGTTAATTGATTATTTTTCAGTATTTTTTTTTTAAACTGAACTTGGTGCTTGCAATTTCATTTATATTTATGTATTTATGGTATTTACTTTTCATTGTACTTTTTAATGGTGAATGCAAATTCTTTGAGCTATTTAATTACTTAGAAAAATTCATATTGTATTTTTATTAATGTTCTGCAATAATAATAGTAATAATAATATTTCAATAAATTTGAAGCAATGAAAATTCACCATAATTGGGCTACTAATTATAATGTGATAGGAACTTTTAAAATTTTAAATCAGAAAACCAAGTTGAGAAAATAGCAATAGGTTTCTTCAAATATTTGGACCCCTTAGCCATCCTATTTTGAGCTCATTAAATATATTTGAATTGTTATTTATCCATAATTGTCATAAAATTGAGCTACTTTTAATTTTATGTACCTATTGTAATGGAATTGTTCTGGAAATGTGGTTGAAATTTTGTGCCTGATGAAATATTACACAAATGATGTCAATTTTGCACAGTTGTGTTATGGAATCATTACTGATGCCATTTCTGACAATACTGGTATTTTCTCCCTCTGATTCCCTCTTACTCTTTCTTGAATATGCTGCATATATTAATTTGATAGCATTTTTAATTCAATTGTGATTATGTTTATTTAAAATTCTTTGACCAGATCTGACAATATTCAAGGACTTATATAAAGGAGTGGCTTATATATATAATAATTTATACTTATATAAGGACTGATTTTATACTCTACAACTAAAGAGTCACTGTTCTTGGAAAACTTGGACTACATTTAACGGCTGGTAAATGAAAATGCTAATTTTGTGTAATGGAAATGCTAATTTAATGTAATTGAAAATTTTCTTTAATAAAAATTACAGTTCAATGTGTCATGTAAATTTTATAATTTTGCTAGATTTTTCTTGATAAAAATTAAACTCAGCACATACTTTTAGAAGTATTCACTTTCTCTAGCTGTGTTTACAGTCATGTTTTCCTTGAATTTATCAAGGTAGGCATCATTATTCTTCCATAGATTTCAAGAGATATTCAACCTTCAGCATAGTTTGCATTTATTTTTGGTTAGTTCTTCTAGAACTTTCATATAAGTGTAGTCTTATGATTACTCAGAAAGCCATTAACTACATCTGTATTATCCCAAGCCTTCTTTTGGTTATACTGAGTTTCTTGGAGAATTTCTTTCTTTTTATGACCTGGCCTATTTTCAAATTTGCATACGTATTCTGGCCCACAAGAAAAGAAAAAAAGTCAATGTAAATTATGTTTAAAGTTTAATTTGAGCAATGCATTGCATAAAGATGACTATAAGTATATTCTACAGTTCAAAATATAAAAAAAATTGAAATTTTTTAGCTATAAATCTTAAAATGTGTGATCATATGCAAAAATGCCTGTCCCTTTCGAGTTTCATGTTATTCAACCTCTTTATTTTGCCAACCTAATTATTTTTTTAAATAAAGAATTTAAATTATTTTAAATATGAACTATTAGTAACATGATAAACTATTAGTATATTCATGATGAACTATTATATATATCATGATGAAAATTAATTTAGAAGTTTTTCTTTAACAATCAATAGAAAAAATTTGTCTTCCATTTCATGCCAAGTCCGTTATCTTGAGATTATTTTACCCCAAAATTAGTTTGTAAATCTGTCTAAAAGGGGCAATACATATTCAGTGACATAGATAAACTAGTCAAGCTAAGTTTGACTACTGTGAATATGTACTGCCTCCTTTAGCAGATTTACAAACTAATTGGGCATAAAATAATCTCAAGGTATGAACTTGACATAAAGTGGAAGCCAAATTATTTTTTATCGATTGCTAAATTTTTCTAAAAATTTTCAATTCATATTTTTATATTTTAAATTGTAGAAAATATTTATAGTCATTTATGCAATGCATTGCTCAAATTAAACTTTAATTTATCTTGAATTTTCTTTCTTTTCTTCTAGGACAGCATGTGTAAGCAAAATTTGAAAATGAACCATGTGCTTTGCATGCTATGAAGGAAAAGCTTTTGCTTTCTGAAGATTGTTTAAATAACAAATTCTGAAGTAATTTGAGATCAACATATTTGATATCTCAGTTCTTTAGTTTATATATTTTTAGCTGTTAATATGAGGTATTTGTGGCAATAGTGTATTGAGTCTAGGTAATTTAGTTCTCATGCAATGAAATTAACTCTTTGTATCACTTTTATAACATTTTTATATTTAGTGGGTGAATTCAGTTTTAATTATTATGACTACTTTAATATAAATATTTCTATACATTTTCTTTTCACATAATTTTGGGTTTATTTGAATGTGAAGGTCTCACTACTGCAGTTTCAAAATTTATTCCTTCAGTCCTCTTAGAGCTAATATTGAATACTATTCTTTCAGAATGTACCATTTTCTTTGTTTTTTGTGAGCAAGAACTGGTATGTTTTCTTTCGGCAATTTCACATTCTTTGTGAACGGTTAGCAAGGTTGCTGCATGAGAGTACTAGGAAGGATGTTTCCACCTTTAAAAGAACTGAGGAAGATGGTAGTGAGCAAGATATGGACACAGGTAAATTTTGATAATAACTAACCTATTTTTTAACTTTTATAAGTTAGGAGAGGACAATGTATTAAATATTTACGTTTTAGAAATAATTGAAGTAATTAATATATTTTATTTATAATTGATTTATTGTTGTAATGATAATAAGCATTTGATAATATTAATTTATAGTATATAGTTTGTTTGTTTAATATGTGAAGTATGACCCTTGTCAGAAAGAGGTAATGTTATATATATTTTGTGCTCTGTTTTAAATATAATTAGATTACATTAAGAAATCATATTTGTTTCAAATTCTGATTTTAGTATAGTTAAATCAATAACCTGCCATATTTTTTAGTGATAAAAATTATTTCATAGACCTATCATTTAATTTCTTTGTCTGCTTTTAAGTTAAGTCTTACTTTAAAGCTATGTTTCCATTATTGAACTTGAAAGAAAGAAAATTTACTTGAAGAACTTGAAAGAAAAAATTTAATTATTTATAATTACATAATTTTATGTAAATTTATATAATTTTAATTGTATATGTTTTTCATATGTATATATATAGGCTCTGTGTTTGCAATTGCCCATTTCATTTTAATATTATTTATTAATTTCAACTTATTTATTATAGTGTATCACTAAACTGTTAACATTTTCATTTATACATTTTTACATGTTTATTTTTATTTTGACTTTATGGTGTGCATAACACAGCACAGTTTCTTGGGAAACGATTTTTCTTTTCCTATGTTATTTATAATATTAAATAGCCATAAGTAAGTTATTTTTATGTATTTTAAGATTATAAGCCATCATATACAGAGCTAATAAACAAACTGAGCCAGTTACTTAGTGGATCCCTTGATTATGCACAGTTTGAAGATGAAGCAAGGTCACTCTTTGGCATACATGCATTTGTGAGTTTCACTATGGACAAACTAATCCTTAATATTGTAAGACAAGTAAGTATAATTCTGGGCACATTCAATAATTTTAATTTGTTTTTGAAATTTAGTTATATATGGATTCATTTGCAAGATTAAATTTCATCTCTGTATGAAATATAATTATTTATATTTTGAAAAGCATAGTGTAATGCTTTGCTTGTCTAAGAAAAGAAAATTTTAATTATAAAAATTTTTGTAATGAAATGTTATTGGAATATACATTTTTAAATAATCCATAATCTGATGGTGCTATTTTGTTGTTAAAAATACCTTAAATCTAGACTTTCTTTGTTTCATACCACATTATGTTATGTAATCATGGCTTTAATCAGCTGCACAGATTGGCAAATTGCCATAAAACTGTTACAGGAGAAGATCTTTAATTTATTATTCAAGTTATAACTTAACATAGCAAAGAAAGATTTGGAAACAGTGTACATATTCTTTAATAATTCTATTATCATTTTATATTTTAGTGTAATATTTATTTTATGTAATTTGTTGTAAATCTGAGTAATAATTTTTTAAGCATTTACACCATTAATGGCATCTAATAATAATATAATTAATAACATCTTTTCTCATACCATGTTTTTTGCATTTAATTATAGAATAATTGTTAAATTTGTCATGAAATTATGCAAATAATATGAAAACAGAAATTGCAAGCATATTCACAAATGAACCCAAAACCAATTAAAAGCCCAGAAACAGTTTTAGTTTTGAAGAAATAGAATGTATAAGAGACTTTTTATTTTATTCTCAGATCATATTTATAGGCTTCTAATTAGTTAGATATGCTTGCTATTTGAATGCTAACTTAGCACTTTCGTATGATATTATAATTGATTCATTTAAAATTATTCTTGAAGAATTCATGATGACGAATATGTGCCGTGTAACCATGCTGCACTTTTTATATAAGACTCTGAAGGAGTATTTAACTTTTATTCTTTATATTAAAAACTTTGTGTAATAAATGACCTTTATGAATATGTATATTTCTCTTTCTAATTTACATGTTTCTTGTGATTTACTTACATTATTATTAGTTTATATTTGTGTGGATTTAGAAGTAAATGCTTAAATAGTTGCAGATTCAATCAATATATAATGACAGAAGCCAAAGTTAATATTTGAACTGAATTTTTTGATCAAATTTTCCATTTGACTGATAAAAATCAATTTTTTTTCTTTGTTTTCACTATTTTAAGTTTTAGTTAAGAGCCAATATCTAGTTTCATCATAATATTCTGTGATTATAAGTAAGGTTGATGTATATTATTTTTAAATTGCAAAAATGGTATCATCATAGGATTTCTCAGTCCTCTATATATTACTGTTTTTCAGTTGCAGCAAATAGTGACTGATGACATATGTAAACAATGCACAGCATTTTTTTTCCAACACACAAAGCTGTTGCTGTAGGGGGGTCACATCTCCTTTAGAAACTTCAAATATGGATTCAGATTATTTGAAAAAAGTTGAAGAAAATTTTAGGAGATGAAAAATGTTTTAAGATTTTATGGGTGAGTTGATCTCTTTTCTCTATAAAAAGAATGCTTTATTTTTTAATTTATATGTATATTTACTTGATATATCCTTGATTTCTCTCTTTTCATATTAGATTCTTTCAATCTATATTTTAAAATATTATTAGAGAAATTAATTTTTTGTAACTTCAAAGGCTGCATTTATTCATAATTCTATTTTCCTAATGCTAGCATAAAAAAAGATCACATTCTGACTATTGAACTTATGGAATATGATACTGAGGATAATGTTGTAGATCCTTGTGAAGCAGAGAAATGGTCAAATTATTTAGATACTTATGTCACTGAAGAAAATGTATCTGAAGAAATTTTAGCACTTGAACAGGGTTTACCAGTGTTTTACCCAAGGTAAATATTTCAAGTATATTTTGAATGTCTTTTATAGCATCATGTTGCATTTATTTAGGCATATGTTTTTCATGACATAAATTTGATGCATTTCTTTAAAATTTTTTTACATTTTAATGCATGCTTATATATTTTCTGATGTATAATCTCCCAGAACTGTAATGCATTTTACTTTTTGCATAATTGTAATAGTTGCAGCTTTGAATGGGGTATTTGAATTTTTGTGTCATATTGTTTCTTATATTTTAAAGACAAAATTGTTTATTAATTTTTTAATGTATATAATGTAGGTTGTATAATAACTACTTTTCTTAATTTAAAGCATTGAGCATTTTTAGACTTTAAACCCTCTGAGCAGCATAACCAGCCTTATCCAGCATGAGTTTTTTTGTCACATGTATATATTAGCTTATCATTATGTATATAATATTATAATATATATATCTTTATCCTTTAAATATATATATATATATATATATTGAGAGAGAGCTTAATCATTACAATCATTTGCTTTCTTCCTAATGTAAATGTCATCTTAATAAATGTAAATTTATGAAAATAGAGACTAAAAGAAGTAATAATACAGATTTATCTAATAAATGCTGTTTAAGTACAAGTCTTTTTGTCAGATTCAAAAACCTGCACTGCTCAGAGGGAATTTATTGAATAATTTTTATTGAAAATTTTATACTCTTAGAAGCATTGAAAATTGTAATGCTTGTATTTCAATTGGTCCTCAACCATTTAGTATCTTACACTGTACTTTTAAGTTTGATCTTTAATTGCTGTACATCATATTATATAAGAAAAAGGGACATGCTAAAATAAATCTCTTCCTAAAAAAAATTCCTTTTATGTTTTACAGAATAGGTATTACTTGGTTTTATTAGAGATTTATAATATGCTTTCTGCTTATTTATATATGATTTGCTGTTATGAATTAAAACCAATGGCCTTACTATATCAGCTGATATATTAAATGGCCTCTGTTTTAAAGCAATGGCCTTAATATATCAGCTGATAGTTTTCCTTAAACTTTCCCTCTCTTTATAATCTTACAATTTAAAAAAAAAAAAAAAAATTGTTGAATAATTAATATTGTTTGTCATCATTCAGTAAGTAAATGATGTAACCAACAACAGTTCAATCATAAATATTTACAGCAGCAGATCTAGCTATAAACTATCATAAATCAGCTATAAGTTATAAACTAGTTTTAAATTATCATTAAATCAGGATAATGAATTTTTATTTTACCAAACTATAAGTTTACCAAATCCAGTTATTTTAATTTAATTTAAATTAAAATAACTGGATTTGGTAAACTGTTTTGAAGTACTGTTCTGAAGTTTTTTAATAAATTCCTGAATATGTTTTATTGCAATTAATTTGGGAAATTAGCACTGAATTTTAGTATCTCAAAACTCTGAGATGCTAATTGTTTTCTAATGTGAATGAAGGTATACATGAATATAGTTTATGTTTAAGTAGTAGTAAATTGAATTCGGAAGGTTTCTGATTTTCAAAATGAGTATAATTTCACAATTTATATCAGCTCTTTGGCATAAACTGTGTAGTTATGAGCTAGTTGACTTTTTGTCATTTTTTTTACTTACTTTCTTATTTAACTTTCACAGTAGAAAGTTATACAGGTAAGACACTGTTACACAGTAAGATAACAAATATTATTCCATATTTATTAATTTAAGAGAAGTTGTGTGTTTTTGAATTTTTGATTTTTATATTTTATAATGTTGTTAGACGTAATTATTAATGGGAATGTTCATTACAGGAATTTAAGGAAGCAACAAGAATATTGGAAAAGGAAAGTAGTATATGTAGAAAATTTATGGAAAAACAGGTATTCTAGCAAGTTTCTTAAAAACAATCCACCACTGTTTTCTCGTAAAAGGAAAGCCGAATTTGCTTCTATTAAACAGAGTCATTCTGCTGGCAAAGTGAAGAATGAAAATGTTGATATTTCAAGCACAGAAGCTAAGGAAAATTCTATTGAATATTGTGAAAACAGTAATCAGAATGTTCCTGAAAATCAGGAAATTTTACAAGAAAATGTTGAACTCGATGACTCGCATGATTCAGCCATGAAAAAAATAGAAGATATTGTTGAGGAGAATATAAGAACAATAGCTCTTGCTCTTGAAGCTGTTAATGATTGTGTGGTTTCTAATACTAATGACAATTTAGATGATTCAATAAATGAACTTAATTCTATAGAAATAGTCCAAGAAACTTCTGTTTTGGATTTAAAGAATGAAATTACAACTGAATGCTTTTATGGTGATGAATCTGCTATTACTGAAATTGGTTTAAATAAAGATGAAATAGTATCTATGCAGATAGAAAGCAAATTCTCTTCTTTGAATGCTTGTAATGATGAAGAAAGTAGCAAGGATGTTTTAAACAGAGCTAAGGAAAATACTTCCTCAGAATCTAAAAGTGAATCACCAAGCAAAACCTGTCATGTTGGTGAAGATGATCCTGATTGTCAAATTGAAATGACAATTGAAACACCATCTCACGTGATTGATACTATAACTGTTTCCGACTCACCAGAAGAAACTAACACTGTTAGTGATTCTGATTCTAAAGAGAAAAAACGTTCTAGAGGCAAAGAGACTCTGATGAGCAAACAAATTCGTATCAAAAATGAAAAGCATGCAGCTAGGCAAAAATGTGGTAGAAAAATGAGTGATTATGCCATCAGGACAAGAAAAAACAGGATTTATCAGGATTATGTTAAACGAAGAATAAAGAAAAATACACTAAAATCAGCCCATTCAAATGCCCACCGAGAAAAAAAGAGTAAGCAGATAACTCGCAAATCTGAGGAATTTGATGATGTCACTTTTGACTATGCTTATTTTTCAGAACTCTCAGATGAAGATAAATGTCAGTATTTAGCAATGAAATATGTAATAGTTCAGGATGATACAGAAGGTGCTTTTAAGAAAGATAGTTATAAAGTATATTTTGTTCAATGCTGTGACACATATGTGTATCGTAGAGACTGCCTATGCCGAGCAAAACTGGTGAGTGTTTCTTTGGCTTAGCAAATTTTTATGAAATATTCTTACATCACAAAATTTTTTCTTTAAAGAAACATTTGTAATTCTGTTTGCCATTCTTTGAAATAAATTGGATTAGTTAGAAGTATTTCTTTGAGCTTCTCTGTTGAGGCTTTAATAATGTGTGTCATCATTCAGTAATTATTTTCATTCATCATAAGGACTTTTAACTAAAATAAAATTTTAACATCCTACATCCTATATCTATATTTATAATTTTTATGGAGTAGAATATTATCAACAAACTGTAAAATGTTTGTGAATTAGTTTATTTCTATTGAATAGTTGTATTTATTTTTTAAAAAAAACTGCCTGCACAGCTCGCTGCCTTAAAATAATATCTGTTATTAAATAGTGAAGCATCTCTATGTACATATGTATGTTCCTCACATTTTAGAAAAATGGCAGTACTGAAAGTCACCAAATTTTGAAGCACTTGTAGACCTCCAAGCATGTTCATCTCCCACTTTGGATTTTGAATTCAAAATTTAAAATCATTTGACCAAAAATAACATATTTGTTTCAAATTTAATCAGCAAATTTGGTGCTTTAAAATAGATGTATACCACTAAACAAAGCATAACATCTTTCAAATTTAATCAACAAACTCGGTGATTTAAAAGAAACATGTTACCACTGCCAAAATAAAATATTTTTATCTTCATGTGCCATAGTGTTGCCTTTTGACAAGGCATAAGATATTTAATTTTTGTTTTAAATTTAATATCTCTGTTATCAATTAAAATGCTAAGTAATTTTAAAGCAATAAACACAGTTCTTTGTCTATATTTTTATTAATTACCAGCTAGACCAATGAAATTACATTAGCTGGACTCATTAATCAAATAATTTTTTCTTTGTATAATAATTATTTTAGGAAGCTGATTGTGCAAGAAGTTACTTGTAGAAAACTATATCATGATTTAATGAGTTCATCTATTGTAATTTTATAAAAAGAAAATTATGTTTTTTGGTTAGACATATCATAAATCAAATGTATATTTATTTAATAATCAGATTCAAAAGGGGAAAAAATATTATTTTTAAGAACTGCATTTATTTACATAATTTAATTTGTTAATCTGTAACAGGCAAATATAAACTTTAAAGTTAAATACACAATGCTTTGCTCAGTGGCAGTGCATTAGCATGTAAAACGCTAAATATTTTGTTTCAGGCAATGACAAAACATTGCTTTTAAGTAGCAGAATTTGTCAATTCAGTTTGAATATAAATGTCTTACACTTTACAGAATGGGAAACCAGCGTGCCAAAGATGAAAATGTTTCATTTTGAGTACTGACAACACACTGCGTTTAAATTGCTGAGTTTATTAATAAAAATTCATTAGCTGTGCACATTATATGAAATAAATAAAAAAACAGATTTGAAATTCAAAATTCGGGCTTTGAAGTGCACGCTGAGTTTTAATCTAATTAATTTTAATTAAGTACAGTGTGTTTTAATTAATTAGAATATGGGAGGAGAGAGGAGGAAATATGTGTATTCACAGTTTGGTGGCTCTAAGTGCTGCCCTTTTCCCGTGATGCCAGAAACATACATACATACAGATTCTTCATTATTAGCAATAAAGATTAAAGATTAATAGATGTAGCACTATTCATTAGCTTTACAAAAACATTTAGTGTTTTATAGAATATTTTTAAAAAATTTTTTGTAAAGATTTAAAAAAAGTGAATCAGAGACCGATGATAATTAAGTAGAGGCTTTATTAAATGATGGAATTTCACGCACATGGAACAGCACGTTTCTACATATCAAACCATGACCAAGAACTACTACAACTGTTGCCAGATCAACCTAAGCAAAAGTATAAAACAGTTACGGTTAAAATACATGACATTAAATCAGAAACGGGGAGTATGTGTGATTATTCTCAACACCCTCCCTTAATCACATGTTATTTTACATTTATCTCTTAAATAACATAATCTTGGTTTAGGCAAGCATTTTGTAAACAAATCAGCTAACTGATTTTCACTAAACTTTTCGAAACATATACAACAAGATTTATATCATACAATTTTACAATATCCCTAATATACTTTAATTCCATGTTTTATTTAAGTCCAAATGTTTTAGTCTAGCACAATTACTTTCATTTAATATTGCTTTAATTACAGACTGATTATCCTCATAAACTGAAACTTTAATATTGTCGACTCCTAAAATTTCTTTAGATACATTATAAAATACAGTTAGGTCCTGAATAGCTTTTGCTAAAGCCAAAATTTCTGCCTCAGTAGAGGACAGAGCAATAGATGTTTGCTTTTTAACAGACCAAGTTACAGGACAATCATTAAAGAAAATAATATACCCAGAAATAGATTTTCTATCATATGTATCTGACCCCCAATCAGCATCAACATAAACATTTAACATAATATCAACACTATTAGATTTACAAAATAATAATTTGAGTTCAGATGTCCCTTTTAAATATTGAAGAATTTGCTTCAGACCAGCCCAAGCACTGTTAGTGGGTTGCTCTTGTATCTGACTCAGACAGTTTCACAGAAACAGAATATCAGGACGAGTTGTCATAGATAGGTACAGCAAAGCACCTACAAGTTCACGATAAGGGCCATGAAATCTTTCACCATTCACAAAATTTGATGAAGTTGACTTAGGCACTAGAGGAAGTATCAGATGGCTTACAATCTAACATTCTAAATCTATTTAACAATTTTTCAACATAAGCCTTTTGGCCTAAAGTAAGTTTGTTCTGTGAATATTCAAAACTTATTCCTAGAAATTCATTTGCAACTTCAGCCTTGGACATCTCAAATTCATTTCTAAGTAGTAATTCAATCACAATTCTTACCTCTGAATCATTAGAACCAGCAATTAGCAAGTCATCCACATACAGCACAATAAATATTTCACTCTGTTTAGTTCTTCTTACAAACATGCTTCGCAATTAGTGTTGACATGCTTCACAGTTAAGTTGTTGAAAGTTTAACTGAATTATAAAATCAGTAAATCTCTTGAAACCACTGCCTCGGTGCTTGCTTAAGTCCATAAAGACTCTTAAGAAGCTTGTACACACGACCACTGTTGTCACTGTAGCCCATTGGTTGTTCCATGTAGATTGTTTCTTGGAGATCACCATTCAGAAATGCAGTCTTTACATCTAATGCATAGATTTCAAGATTCTTTTGAATAATGATAGCCAGCACAAGTCGAAGTGATGATGTACTAATTACAGGAGCATAGGTCTCAAAGTAATCAATGCCTGGCTTCTGTTCAAAGCCACGAGCAACCAATCTAGCTTTGTAAACATTGTTTCGTTTGATGCGCAACACCCATTTACAGGATATTGGCTTTTCATCCTTTGGCAAGTTGACTAACTTCCACACTTCATTTTTATTAAGAGAAGCTATTTCCTCATCCATGGCTTTCCTCCATAGGACTTGCTCTTCTTTTGGCAATGTTGTTATATCCTCATATGTTACTGTATCAAGAGTTGCCACATTAGCTTCATACACAAAGTAATCATTCAACTTTACAGGTAATTTTATATTTCTTCTTTTGCCTAGTAATTTCTTCATGACTTTCTTCAAGATTTCTTCTGGATTCTACATCACTTGAATCATATACTTACTTCATCCTTTAGCAGGATCTTTACTTTCTATGGAAAAATCATCTTGAACTGAGATACATTTCTTTTTCTCTTTCAATTGAACAATACATTTCGAGAAACCACAACATGATTTGTGACTGGGTCCAGTAAACGATAACCCATGGTAGAGTATCCAATAAAAATCATCTTTTTTTTTGATTTTGGATCCAATTTCTTTCTTAAGTTATCAGGAACTCTCATGTATGCATCATCAGATCCAAACACCTTAATAATATTCAAATCAGGCGGCTTCCCATATTTGAGCTCATAAGGTACATTTTCAACAGTCTGATTTGGAATTCTATTCTTAAGATATGCAGCTGTCTGTACAGCATAGCCCCAGAAAAGGATTTAGAAAGCTTTGCTTCACATATTAGAGCTCATGGCCTTCTCTAAAAGATATCTGTTGGCTCTCTCAGCCACACCATTTAAAGGAGGTGAATATGGAGGAGCAGGATCTATCATAACACCATTTTTCTTGCAATAACGAGCTAGTTCACCAGACACATATTCCTTGGCACGTATTCCTTCACACCGGATTTTGTAGAGATCAGGATTCTGCTTTAGGAACAATTTAAACACTTCATTTATGTCACTCTTGTGCTTTAAGAGATGCACTTCAGTAAATCTAGAAAAATCATCTATGATTGTAGCAAAATACTTTTCACTTCCCTAGTGGGTGGATCAATGGGACCACATATGTTAGTGTGTACCATTCTCATTGGCACATGCTCTCTGCTTCTAGGACCTTTGTTCATAGGGATGTTGGAATGTTTTGCCAGTACGCACTCTTCACAAAAGCTTGAAGGTGACTCAGATACTGGCAAACTCATTTCTTTTAATATTTTATCAGATGAGTGCCCCATGCCCCTGTGCCATAATTCTGCACTATGATTTGCAATGTATTTTGAAGCTTTAACTGGTTCAAATTGACTCACATACTGTCCTTTCTCATTGAGTTTAGCAAACTCAAATTTTTCATTCCTCTTTTCAATAACAGCTACATTATTCTTAAGAATTACACTGTAACCTGCTTTTTGAATATTCTTCACAGATATTAATTGACCGTTCAACTCAGGCACATATAAACACATCTTTAAGTAATATTTTCTTCCATTTAATGTTCCAGGTACTGTACCCAATACCTTCTAGATTTAAAACGTCATTTTTAGAAGCACATGCAACAATTCCAGAAAAAGGTTTAATTCCTTCAAACCACTCACCTTTATTACACATGTGTGTAGATGCTTCAGAATTCAGAATGAAATTTCCAGCAGGCTCGCCAACCATGAATGTTACTGCAGCTGATTCTCTATAATCTGATTTGTGCTTAAATCTGCAATCCTTTGTGTAATGCCCTGGGTGTCCACATCCAAAGCAAACTAATTTTTTCTTGCAAAGCTTGGCAATATGACCTTTACTTTTACATTTGTGGCAGATGGTATCACGCTTATCAGCGCTAAAAGCTACGTTATTACTTGAGCAAGAAACACGAGAATAGTAAGAATTTCTTTCACCTTGCAATTCTTCAGCATTCAAGAGGCTTTGCATAACAAAGTCCAGTGTAAGCATTTCATTTGGCTGGTTCTCAATTGTTGATTTAATAATGTCGTACTCAGAAGGTAGCGACATCAACAAATAAATAATCATATCCATATCTTTGACTTCAGCACCCGAGAGCCGCAGTTCATTTACGATCGCCAACAGTTCGTTAATATGTGACTGCATACTGCAATCTCGTTGTTTCTTCAGTGTCGATAATTTCTTTCGTACTAATATTTGACTAACTGCACTCACCTTATGGTATTTATTCTTTAAACTTCTCCAAATTTCACATGCAGAAGATTCACTCGACATGGTCGCCAATATGGCATCATCTAGAAAGGTTAGCAGCAATGCGTAAGCCTTTTTTGCATCTTTGATTTCAGCAACTTTTGTTTCATCCGCTTCAACATCTAAATATTTATCAAGTTCTTTGGCCGCAAACATAGCTTCACGGCGCTTAAACAGAGAAAAGTTTTTACTGTTAAACGGCTCAACACAATACATTGTGTTCTCATCACATACTGCCATTTCAAATTTCACTTAACGTGCGATTCCATTCCAAACAAATAAGTTCCACAAAACAAATATAAATGCTTCGCCTCTAGCATGTTCAGTATCAGAACCACGCTCTGCTGTAAAGATTTTAAAAAAAGTGAATCAGAGGCCGATGATAATTAAGTAGAGGCTTTATTAACTGATGGAATTTTACACACATGGAGCAGCACGTTTTCTACATATCAAACCATGACCAAGAACTACTACAACTGTTGCCAGATCAACCTAAGCAAAAGTATAAAACAGTTACGGTTAAAATACATGGCATTAAATCAGTAACGGGAGTACGTGTGATTAGTCTCAACAATTTTAATACTAGCTTTTTATCTAGTTTAGGAACAATTTCCTTTCTATGAAATAATTAGCAATGCTGATAATGTACAGTCAAAAGCCGTTAATCCGGACTCGTCGGGACTTCGGCGATTCCGGATTATAGATCATCAGTTTAAATCTGGTAAGATGGCATGCAGAATTTATAAAATTAAAAATATGAAACTGTAATTTATGAAATAAAGAACAATTATGATCTAGAGGCTATCAAAATTTACAAAAAAAAAAAAAAAAAAAAAAAAAAGAAGCTTAATATTGATTTGTTTACTTTATTAAACATTTCTTTCAATGTAAGTTGTTTAAGTTGCTTCATTTTTTATGTGATAATACATTCTCTTTAATTCTATAAACAGGCATAATTTCTTGTTCAGTTATAAAGTTCCGCTGTTTCAAGTCCTATAATTGCTGTGTCGAGAATACTGACTAATTTGTCAATCAAAATTTTTTCGTTTTCATAATCTCTGTTACTTTTTTCGCTATCAGGAGCAAATTATAATGACGAGGAATTTGATTTAAATCATATCAAAGATGGAGTACATCGAGATGAAATACTACATTTAGTAAGGAATTATAAGCCAAATAAAACATCTGCCCTAAAGATAAGGATAGTGCTGACAGATCAACTTCCAATTCATTGTGCGCCGCGGCGTTAAAGATAAACAAATTTTAGATAAACAAAATTTATGCCTTTATGCATTTTTTGCAGCAATTCCACTTTTTTGTTTAATGGACTTCGAAACATACTTTCGCTTTGTAAATCCTTTACATATTAGTAAATATATATCAGAAATTCTATTTGGCATAATCGAAAGTTCAAGCTTACTTTTATAAAATTGCTCTAACAGTCTGCAAAAAAATAATAAGCCCGAATCCAATTCGAAGATTAAGGAACAATGCAATCTGCAACATTAACTGAATTAGATAATTTTAGCTTAGCTTATACCGTCCGTTATACATTAAATGCACATTCGTAAACGTATTTTGCGCACGCGCACATGCATATTCGCAGCCGTAAAGGTCTTACGCGCATGTGTCAACGCGACGCATGCGCAGAAAGTTTATAGCTTTGAGGTGCGGATTATAGATCATTCCGGATTATGGGTGTCCGAATTAACGACTTTTGACTGTATTAAATTTACTTATAAGTTTTCAAGAATTTAAAAAATTTTTCATTAGTAACTCATGCTTGTCAAAATCAAACTAAATAAAACTCCTCCAAAAACATTTGGACTTTTTTTTTCTTTTTTTAAACTAGTGACAGGCTTTTAAATTGCATTTCCATTCTAGGATAGTAATTGACAAGATATGAATATCTATTACTTGCTTATTGAAAATATTAAAAAACAGAAATAATTTTTAGTAATATTTAGGACTTCAGTATTCTGCATAGACCCGTAACATCTTATTGAGTTTACATATGTAATTATTCTAAAATTCATTTGTAATTATTATGGCTGGGGTTTCCTTCCATGTACCTTTAAAAGTATTGTAATCTGAGAATTCTGAATGTGGTTTGTATTAAAAATCGCAGCTTTTAAAAGAATTTTTTTAATTTATTGTATAACACATTTTTTTAATTTACAGATTCATAAGAAAATTTCTGAGATCAAGACTTCAAATTTCAATGCTTGGCACAGAGTTTGGCTAGACAGATATGTTACTCCAGCCATGTTAAAGTTTTGCAGTGATTGGCTTCTGAGAAATGATCCTGAGAAATATAAGCTAGTGTGTTTGACAATAAGTGATTGTACGAAACCTCCATATATTCCTTATAGTAAATATAAAGTCAGATATTATAAAACAGAGCAGTAATTGAATATGCTTGGTGCTTTTTTCTATCAAAATGGCTTCCGTATCATCATACAGACATTATTTTTTTCTGTTATCTACATGTATTTTGAATTTTTCTGATACTGTCTAATTGTCTGATAATCTAACTATCAATAAAATGCTCATTCTATTGTAATCTATTTAAATGTTAATTTTATTTTCTTAACATTATATTAAATGTTGTTTTCTGAAATTACATGAGTTACAGCGCAAATCTTACAGTGAAATGATGTTTGGAAAAATTATATTTCTTCAGACTGATAATAATTTGCATTGTAAGTTGAAATAACTATTATTTATATTTGCTATAAAAAGTTGTGTCTACAAGTAGTGAAAATGTGAATATCAAAAACTTGCTATATTAATTTTAAATATTAAAATAGTGTTCACAGTACATTCTTCATAATTATTAAAAAGTGTACTAGAAAAAATATTTACCTTAAATTTGGTTCAAAAACAGAAAGTCTGTTGATTTTTGAAAATTTATTCTGAGCCAGTTACTATGTACGTTTTAAACACAAAAAATTGCATTTAGGAGTTTAATGCAAGGGGAAAGCAAACACTTAATATATTTTTTCAATCAAAATTAATTTTGAAGAAACTGTAGTTTTGAATGTGTATGAATGGTATATTTGTAATTCTGGTATCAGCCTTTGCTGTGTGAGACTACTATGCATTTGTTATGGTATTATCATTTAAATATTATAATTAAAGAGAAAGATTGTAAATATATTACAGGACCTGTAGTAGAGTATTTGTTTTTCTTAAATAAATATTTAAAAATGCCAATTGTATGATACTTCTAAAGCTTTCTTATTTAAATTCCATTTTTAATTAATTTATACATATATTATTGCTGAGAGTTAATGTATTACTATAGAAATTGTTTTGTTTTTCTTTGAACAGTAAACTTATCTTGAAATCCTTTATTAATAACAGAAATGACATGCATAAGGAATTTTTTAAATCACGTGGTTTTGTTTTAGAATTGTAATTAATCATGATTTTAAATTAAAATAATGAGTTTATCAATATTATTATAGGAATTATGCTGAATAATAGTATTTTTCTGTATAGTTTTCTAATTATTTTGAACTTAAAATGTCTTCTTATTAATCCCACTTATCTGAATCAGATTTGATCAATAGTTCATTTGCCTTCGAACATGAAATTAGGTTTCTATAGCAGATCTTCATGTGTGCAGCACAACTAAATAGATGTTGCACAGCAGCTTCATGATTTTTATATTTGGTGCAAGTGGGAAACGTTTTAGTACCACAGGAATATCCAAGGGTCCTTAAATGTTCTGAAGTCAAAGGCAAACGTTGTCCCTTGACCACATAATCAAATTCGCCAAAAAGGTTAGTTCTAAAAGTTCCCTACCTGAAGCACACCTTTTAAGATTTCAGTTTTAGTTATGGCTATTAAGGGGGTAGGCTTTGAATTTTTAACGAGCATTTTAAGCTAAACATACGGTTCTGAAGAATAATGGTCAACTTAATATAACATGTGACATGACGAAAATATAGTCAGCCTATTTTTGAACTTATACTTAACATCTGGATTTATTGTAAAATGAAGACTAAGAAAACGCATAATTCAAGGAAACTAACATTTTATACTTTTAGTTTCGCACATTTAAATATTCTGGCACTTTTTTAGGAAACTACACATATTCGATTACATTTGGATATCAAACATTTTACTTTAATTGTATATTGAATTCCTACATACAAACAGATCACGAATATAAATATTTTCGCTCTAGTGTAGAACTGAGTGCCCCTTCGCTTCACGACAACTTTTTTAAATTTTGGCGATGAAACCTTACTTCTGGTTACCATGATAGTTTTAACTCTGTTTTAGCTTCCTGATTTTATTTAAATGAAAATAGATTGATGTGTACATGGGCAAATTTAAGGCAGTGCGCAATGCCTAGTTTGTGCAATTCTAGGATTTTTTTTTAAGTGAAAACAGATCAATGTGTTCATGGACACAGAGTCTGTACAATTCTTTGACTTCTTATTTTTGTTTTGTGTAGCGACCATCAAGAAATTGTACCTTCCTGGTGCCGATCTTGGCATCAAAAAAAGAATCGCCAAAAAACAAGGGGCACCCAATTGTAAACTTTTACCAATATTTTGTGTATTTGAAAATATATATATATAAGTGAATACATACACAGCAAGCCTTTTGAAGCGTTCTTCTTCATCACCCGCATCAATATCCATTGAAGTCTCGGAACTTTTAAAAAGAAAAGCACACGGTAAATAACACATTTGTTCATTGGCGCAAACACAACCAGCGAATCAGCTTTACGTTTCAACGTTGCCAAATCGCGCAATTTTCGACAAAACTATGCTGCCAAAATTCATGTGCTTGCGTTTTTGGGAAATTTTCCCTGCTCTTTTTTCTTAAACGCACATATGTTAAAATAACTTTTCTATTAAAATTAATTTATAATAAAAAGATCTTGCCCCCCAGATGGTATAGTGTTTAGGAGCTACTCTAATTTTTCATTATTTAATTTCTTCAAATATAATGCAAGACTCTAACATTTGGTGGCAACAGTTTGAAAAGTAAAACGAACATTTATAATAGTGATTCAACGGGGAGATCAGAGATCATTATTCGTTAAGTAGTGTTCGACCCGAGGGCCTTTACCACTACATGTTTATCAATCCCCTAAGGACCTGTAAAAGTTCGTTAAATTCCATAAACTGGAAAAGTCGTATGCATTTGTAATAAAAGTGCAAAGTCTTCAGTTGCGAAGAAGTTGATCAGGGGTGACGCTGTAGCCTTGGCTACTAATGTTTAAAATTAATTTATGACTAGTAACAGCATGAATTATAAACAAATAGCTAAGTTATTGCATTTTATTTTCCAGCTATCGAAATGCGACGCTACGAGCAACGTTTTGAAACCAAAACCTAGCAATCATGAATCAGAACTAGAACTAGTTGCCATTCAGCATAAAGAAATTTAAATATAAATATGAATATTAACAAAATATTAAAGTTAATTTTATAAAATAATTAAACACATGAACAAATATATGAAATAAAAAATAATTATTTCTCATGCAATAACTGGGCCACTACACTACTCCCCCACCAGTAACTAAGTTACGTTACGAAGATGGAGAAATAGGTAGTAACTAGTATTGCAGTGTTAACCACTATCAAAATAATTTAGTCAGTCCTTGAATCTAACAGGTAAACGTATAGTTCTGCCTGTGCGAGAAGGTTTTTGATTCACATCCGAATTTGAGTCCGGTCTCTGCAAATTACTGTAGTCAGGTTGTATCAACTGAGAATTTTCCTCAGCTAAAATATATGCTGGTTTCAGGCGATCCAGGGATACATTAACATGTTTTCCTTTTGTGCTAATAGTAAAATATTTGTCCTTGCGATCAATAACAGGAAATGGTCCTTCATAAGGAGGTTCCAAAGGTTTTTTTTATCCGATCTATTCGCTGAAACACATGAGAACAAGTTTTTAAGTCTTTATGGACAAATATCTGTTCAGATGAATTTTTACGAATTAGTCTCGGTCCAACAACTTCCATCTGTTTCTGGAGTTTATTAGCAAAAGTCTCCGATGCTGTCTGGATACTTGGTTCGCTGAAAAACTCGCCAGGAAGTCTGAGACTCTGGCCATAAACTACTTGCGCAATAGAATGATTGGTATCTTCTTGAATAGTGCTGTTGAATAGTTTACAAACCCAAAAGTACTGTTGGTAACGTGTCCGTCCAAGATATGTTGTTGTGGGCTTTTAATGCTGTTTTCAATGTTCGATGAAGGCGCTCAACATTGCCATTACACGAGGGGTGGTAGGCAGTAGTGTGTTGTAAATTGATGCCACAGATTTTGGACAAAGCTCGTAATGTATCACTTTTAAATTGGGATCCACGATCACTAATGAGTTTACTTGGCGTTCCGAAACGCGCAATCCAGTTGCTATAAAAGGTTCTTGCGACGTTCTCAGCAGAAATATTTTCTAAAGGAATTGCTTCCATCCAATTCGAAAATCTATCTATGCAAGTAAGACAATAAATATTCCCTTTAGATGGTGGAAGTGGTCCTATGAGATCGATATGGATGACAGAAAATCTTCCTGGTGATACTTCAAACTCACCTAATTTTGTTTTGGTGTGCCGATTGATTTTAGCTTTTTGGCAATGAATGCAGGTTCTTGTCCACAACTGTACATCTTTTTTTATGTTAGGCCAAATGAATTTTGATGTCATTAATTTCATAGTCGATTTTATTCCTGGATGTGATAAACCATGAATTCTTTGAAAGACGTGTTTTCTGAAAGCCTGAGGAATATACGGCCGAACATGTTTAGTTGATGTATCACACCACAAATATTTCCCCGATGGTAGAGAACATTGCTTGAAATTCAAGGAAGTAGTGGTTTGCAAACTCTTCAGTTCTTCATCTTGAGTTTGTTCATCAGCTATTTTATCATAATCTATCGATGAAATTTCATTAACTCTAGATAACGTATCCGCCACAATATTATTCTCACCTTTTAAATATTTGATATCAGTCGAAACCTGGGAGATGTATTGAAGTTGGCGAGCATGTCTAGGTGTTGCTTTGTCAAGTTTTTGACGAAAGGCGAATATTAAGGGCTTGTGATCTGTATAAATTGTAAATACTCTTCCTTCTAGATAATGCTTAAAGTGTCTAACTGAAAGATATATGCTTAATAGTTCTCTATCATAGGTGCTATATTTTTGCTGAGTATCACTTAATTTTTTAGAAAAAAATGCTATTGGCTTCCACGAGGAGTTTTCATATTGTTGCAACACTGAGCCAATCGCCGTATCTGAAGCATCTGTAAATAACGCCAGAGGTAATTCAGAATTGGGAAAAGACAACAGTGCCGTGTTCACCAGGTCATTCTTGCACGTTTCAAACTGTTTTTCAGCTTCTTCAGTCCATTCGATTTTACGTTTGTCCCTCTTTTTAGCTCCCTTGAGATACGCATGTAACAATGCTTGATTCTTCGCTGCATCCTTTATATAACGACGATAAAAGTTAAGTATTCCAAGAAAGGTTCTAAGTTCATGAATTGTTTCTGGTCGTTTGTAGTTAGTAATAGCTTGAACTCTTTCTGGCAAAGGACGGGAACCCTTAGGTGTAATTAGGTAGCCTAGAAACTCGATTTGGGGAACAGCAAAGACAGATTTTGAAACATTAATTCTTAACCCAAATGTATGTAATCTTTCGAAAACTAATTTAAGGTGATTTTCGTGTTCTTCATGGGTACTGGATGCAATGAGTATATCGTCTAAATAGGGAAAAACGAATTCTAATCCTCTAAAGACTTCGTGAATAAATCTTTGGAACGTTGCAGGAGCATTTTTTAAACCGAAACTCATTACATTAAATTCGTATAAACCGAAAGGAGTGATGATAGCCGTTTTACATTTGTCTTCTTCTGCAATGGGAATTTGAAAATAAGCTTTGAATAAATCAATTTTAGAAAAAATATTTGTACCTCTTAAAATATGATGAAAATCTTCAATGCGAGGAATTGGGTATCGATCAGGTATCGTCTGCGCATTCAATCGTCGGTAGTCTCCGCAAGGACGATATGAACCATCCTTTTTCGTAACAAGGTGCAAGGGGCTTGACCACTGGGAGTTTGATGGACGAATTATTCCATTGTCAAGCATAAATTTAAATTCCTCTTTAGCTATAGCTAAGCGTTTTGGATCGAGCTGTCGTGCCTTTGAATAAACGGGTTGACCAACAGTCGAAATAAAATGTGTAAC